TTCTTCTTCTTCTTCTTCTTCTTCTTCTTCTTCTTCTTCTTCTTCTCCTCTCTTCTCCTCCTACTCCTCCGAAGTTCTTCTTCTTCTCCTCTCCTCTTCTCCTCCTACTCCTCCGAAGTTCTTCTTCTTCTTCTTCTTCTTCTTCTTCTTCTTCTTCTCCTCTCCTCTTCTCCTCCTACTCCTCCGAAGTTCTTCTTCTTCTTCTTCTTCTTCTTCTTCTTCTTCTTCTCCTCTCCTCTTCTCCTCCTACTCCTCCGAAGTTCTTCTTCTTCTTCTTCTTCTTCTTTATCAGAGTAGAGATAGAGGTAACTGCAGACGTTGTTGGGACACGACCTTCTGCCTTATTGGACACGACATTCAGATCGGACTTACACTCTACATTGGGATTGAACTGTGTACGACATTCGGAGATTAGACTTGGGTTGGACTTGGTTACTATGTCCCTCCCCCTTCTCTCTCGCATGTCTATGGATCTCTCCCCATGTGTGTGAGCGGAAGGGCAATCTTTCTGATGTCTTGCCCTTCCGAAGTTTCTCCCTTTCATGTTGTCGTCCACATGTCCTTTTGATACTAAATCTTCCGCTGCGCTGCTTCCCAGCCTATGATGATAATGATACGAATGTGTTGTTGTTGATTTCTCGTTGTTCCACTCTTTGCATCGTGCACATGGACACCTTGTGAATGTTGCACCTATGCTGCTGGTTGTTGCCACTTTCGTCATTGCTAGATCCTAGGCTTTCAGTGCATTTCACTTTCTGATATGCTACAGGAAGGGATGGGTCGTCGGAGGGATGGCCAGGGGCGTTTTGGTTTTCTCACAGAAGGGATGGGAACGGAAGGAGAGGGGAGGGGAGGGGGGGTCATGTCCGGGCATGGGGGTTTGGCAGAGGCTGGGATGTGTTGTCGGAGGGATGGCAACGGAAGGACGTAGGGGAAGGAGACCCCGCCACCCTCCTTCCCCAATTCTCCCGACCTGCATGTTCGATGGTAGTTATAGATCCGTACATCTGATCCCTAAGTCCTCCTCCGTGAAAGCACGGATTCGAACTGGCGACCTCGGCCTCGATTCACAGGAGACGGAACACCACACGGACACACCACACAGACGCGGCAAAAAAATTCTCGCACACTTCGCTCCAATCAGCACATGACCCCCATTGGTACCTATCCCGCTCACATGCACGGGTCTTAACTTGCCCGCGGCGGGTTCATGGGAGCCTCCACAGTAATTGTCGATCCGTACATCTGGGGCTAAGGCCCCCCTCTGTGCACGCAGGGATTCGAACCAGCGACCTCAGCCTCAAGAGCCGAGCCTCTTCACCACTACAACCAGGACGCGGTGTTCTAACGATGAACCACCCCAGTCATGATATCCACCCCACCCCTGCAAGGCAACGGACATGGAATCCCCACAGGCCAGATGCGAACGCGGGGCGGGCTTGGACACGCAGCCCGGACGCATCCCCCACTGCTAAGGTTTCTTCTCTACTACTCTCCTCTGCTCTTCCTCCTCCTCTCCGAGTAACAGTTACCGCACTCTTCCGATAAAGGTGACTTCATCACAGACGATCAATGGTTTTCCCTCCCTCGACTTCCTCAGGGTGGCATCTCCCAAACAATCTCCTTTCTGTGAATCAAGCCGTCTTCCTCAGGGGATTCCACCGTCTTCTTCCCTCCCTCAACTTCCTAAGGGAGTTTGTTTGGGAGATGCCACTCAGACGGATTTGGATCAGACAAGTGGCATCATCAAGGGCCGCAAAGACAACATGAAACTGCACAGGTGACACATGAAGGAACTAGTACAAGGAGACACCGACGAGGGTGCAAGACTTGAGATTCATTGCGTTCCATGCTCAACCCCCACCCAAAAAAAAAGAAAACAAAAAAAAAGAAAGAAAGAAAGAAAGGGAGGATACTAACAAGGCAAGGAGGGGTAGAGAAAGGCTTGATGACAAGAACTCACTTCCCGATATCAGTAAAGTAGTCCGAAAATGTGGCCACGAGGTACTCTGTCACAACCCCGTCATACCAGTCTGTGGCAGAATCAGCACAATAACGGACAGGGAAAAACAGGTCAGACATCAGATCTGTGCAGCTTCCCACCTTCCATTACACCACATGCCAGTGTTGCACACCCCGACGGTCGGCGCCCCTTGACTGGTCGGATGCCGACCAGTTGACCGGTCAGCTGGTCGGCACCTACCGGTCGGGGGTCGTCAACACCCCCCAATTTTTTATTTTTTTTTATTTTTTTTGGGGGGTCCATAACCCCAAATAACCTCACCAACACCCTCATACCCGGCCCCAATACCCCCATACACCCCCTCAAACCCCCCAAACAGCTCCCCAACACCCTCATACACCCTCTCATACCCCCCATACCCCCTATACCAGTCCTATACCCCCCTATGCCCCCTCCCCAACCTCCCCATACCCCCCCATACCGGCAGACCGCCGACCGGTCGGCCCTACTGGTCGGCAGTAGGGGTCGGCGGTCGGCAGATATGCAACCCTGCCATATGTTTTAAAAACAAATTTCCCTCGAAGTTATCAGAAACGTCTGTTTGTTTGTTTGTTTCTTAGGTTGGTTGGTTGGTTGGTTGGTTGGTTGGTTGGTTGGCAGGTTGCTTGGTTGGTTAAAGTAGGCCTTGACATGATTGAACTCGTAACAACAAACAAACAAACAGCCCACGGGTTGGTTGGTTAGGTGGTTGGGTGGTGTGAGGGTAGTAGGGTTAGTAGCCCTAAACAAACAAACAAGCAACCGAAGAGGGCGCAAAGAACAAACCAGCAACCGGCGAACAAACAAACGACCAACCAACCAACCAACCAACCAACCAACCAACCAACCGACCAACAAACAAACAAACAAACAAACAAACAGACAGACAGACAAACAGACAGGTGAATTAACAATGCGAGTCTGGTTGTGAATCAGCAAACATGTCAGACCTGTCTGTCTGTACATCAACAAACACGTCAGACCTGTTGATTCCACCATGGTGAATCAACAGGTTTAAACCATCGATGCGGCACATTGACATGCGCTGCACGATGCGTGCACCCGGCATGCGGGGCATGACAAAATTACAGAGTCCACCGAAAAAAGAAAACTCTCTCTCTCTCTCTCTCTCTCTCTCTCTCTCTCTCTCTCTCTCTGTGTGTGTGTGTGTGTGTGTGTGTGTGTGTGTGTGTGTGTGGAACCTGTGCAGCTCCTCCTCCTCCCCATTTCTCCAATGTCTTCGTTCTTCTCCTCCTCCCCCTTCCTGCCTCCTTCGACATCGTTCTCCTACTTCCCTGCTTATCATAGCAGTCTCCTTCGTTGTCATTCTCCTACTCCTCGGCCCTTCTACCTTCCCCCTCCTCACTCTTCATCAGTGTGCTCCTCCCTCCTCCATTCCTTCCGTCCTTCCTCGTCATTGTTCTCCTCGTCCTCAATCCTCCCCATAGTTCTCCTCCTTGTCAATCTTCCCCATCGTTCTCCTCCTCCTCAATCCTCCCTCGTCAATCTCCTCCTCCCTCCGTCGTTCTACTCCCCCTCCCTCCTTCGTCATCGGTGTGCTCCTCCCTCCTTCGTCATCGGTGTGCTCCTCCCTCCTCCATCCTCCCTCCGCCCTTCTACCTTCCCCCTATTCCCTTGTCATCAGTGAAGCAGCCATATCCAGGTGGGTTACCACCAGCCCCTCCCTCCCTCCCTCTCTCTCTCTCTCTCTCTCTCTCTCTCTCTCTCTCTCTCTCTCTCTCTCTCTCTCTCTCTCTCTCTCTCTCTCTCT